AGGAGGAACGTGTCCTCCTGCTAAATGCAAATTACTATGATGTCATAGGGATAACAGAGACCTGGTAGAACTCCACCCATGACTGGACCACAGGTATAGATGGCTATACCCTGTACAGGAGGGATCGAGTGGACAAAAGAAGTGGGGGTGTAACGTTCTATGTCAAGGAAAGCTATGCGCCCCTGCAAGCCGACATTGGCACCCACGGTGGACAACTTGAGACCCTCTGGGTTAAAATCCATGGGGAACACAGCATAGGGGATATTATGATGAGAGTCTACTACAGACCCTTTACCCAGGGTCAAGACCTTGACCAGGAGTTCACCAGGGAATTGGCTGAGGCTGCACGCTTCCAGTGTATGGTTGTCATGGGAGACTTTAACTACCCAGACATCTCGTGAGAGGAGTGCTCAGCCAAATCTGAGCGGTGGGAAAGCTTTCTCTCGTGCGTGGATGACCTCTATCTGACACAGGAAGTCTACGGGCTGATAAGAGGTAAAGCGCTGCTTGACCTGGTACTGGCAACTGGGGATGACCTAATTGGTGCCCTAACGATTGAGAGGAAGCTGGATGACAGTGACCATGAGCTGATCACCTTCACCATCTGCCGTAAAGCTGGCAAGTCAGTCAGTAATACAGAAGTCCTCGACTTCAGGAAAGCTGACTTTGACTAGCTCAGGAGGTTTGTCAGAGAGGCCCTAAAGGGCCACAACCCAAAGCAGAGGGGAGTTCAGGACGAGTGGTTGCTCCTCAAGGGAGCAATCCTGGATGCGCAAGCAAAGTCCATCCTGTCTTAGAGGAAAGGCAGCAAAAGGGCACAGCAGCCCCCTTGGCTCTCCAGGGAACTGGTGGACCTTCTGCATCTTAAAAGGAAAACCTGCAAAGGATGGAGGACTGGAACCAACACCAAGGAGGAATACTCTGCACTGGTCCAGACCTGCAGAGAGCAAACCAGGAAAGCCAAGGCTGTAATGGAACTCTAGCTAGCTACAAATATCAAGGACAATAAAAAGTCCTTTTTTAGATATGTGGGGAGCTGGAGGAAAAGCAAGGGCAACATTGGACCCCTGTTAAACCAGATGGGACAACTGACAACAGATGCCCAGGAAAAAGTGAACTTGCTAAATGGGTACTTTGCATCAGTTTTTCACTATTCCCATGGGATGCCCCTGCCCACTGTGGGTCAGGGAGGCCCAGGTAAAGGAGATTTCTTGCCCTCCATTGAAGCTGACCTCGTGAAGGAACACCTTGACAGGCTGGATACCTTCAAGTCAGCCGGCCCTGATGGGCTACACCCAAGGGTATTCAAGGTGCTGGCAAGCATCATAGCTCAGCCCCTGGCATGGATCTTTGAGAGCTCTTGGCGCTCTGGTGAAGTGCCTGAAGATTGGAAGAAGGCCAATGTGGTGCCTATCTTCAAGAAAGGGAGGAAAGTAGATCTGGCAAACTACAGACCCATCAGCCTGACCTCTATCCTGGGGAAGGTCTTGGAAAAGATTATCAAAGAGGCCATCCTTAACAGACTAGCTGACGACAATATCCTGAGGGATAGCCAGCATGGGTTTGTTGCGGGTAGGTCTTGCTTGACCAATCTCATTTCCTCTTATGACCAGGTGACCTATCACCTGGACAAGGAGGAAGAGATTGATGCCATATATCTTGACTTCAAAAAAGCCTTTGATCTGGTATCCCATGATCACCTCTTGGCTAAACTGGCTAACTGCAGCCTTGGCTTCACCACGATCTGCTGGCTGAAAAATTGGCTCTGCGTTATGACCCAGAGGGTGGTGGTTGATGGAAGCCAATTGTCTTAGTGCATGGTCACCAGTGGGGTCCCTCAAGGCTCTGTCCTAGGGCCTATACTATTTAACTCCTTCATCGGTGATATGGACATTGGTGTCAGAAGCAGACTGGCCAAGTTTGTCGATGACACCAAACTCTGGGGTAAAGCATCCACACCTGAGGACAGGAGGATGATCCAGGCAGATCTTGACAGGCTCAGGAAATGGGCGGATGAGAACCTGATGGTGTTCAACACCGAAAAATGCAAGGTTGTCCACCTTGGGAGGAAAAACCTGCAGCGTTCTTATAGGCTCAGCAGTGCTTTGCTAGTTAGCACTACAGATGAAAGGGACTTGGGGGTCATGATTGACCACAAGATGAACATGAACCTTCAATGTGATGCTGCAGCTAGTAAAGTGAGCCAAATGCTGGCTTGCATCCATAGATGCTTTTCAAGCAAATCCCAGGATGTCATTCTCTTGTTCTATTCGGTCTTGGTGAGGCCACAGCTGGAGTACTGCGTCTAGTTTTGGGCTCCACAATTCGAAAAGGACGTGGAGAAGCTTGAGCGAGTGCAGAGGAGAGCCACGCACATGATCAGAGGTCAGGAAAACAGACCTTATGATGAGAGGCTGAGAGCCATGGGACTTCGGTCTGGAAAAGTGCAGGCTCAGGGGTGATCTGGTAGCCACCTATAAGTTTATAGGGTGCTCATCAGGATCTGGGGGAACGTCTGTTCACCAGAGCGCCCCAAAGGATGACAAGATCAAACGGTCACAAACTCCGTTGCGACGGATTCAGGCTGGACATAAGAAAGAACTTCTTTACCGTCCGAGCCCCTAAGGTCTGGAATAGACTGCCGCCGGAGGCAGTTCAAGCACCCACTTTGAATGCCTTCAAGACACATTTGGATGCTTATCTTGCTGGGATCCTATGATCCCTGCTGACTTCCTGCCCCTGGGGCAGGGGGCTGGACTCGATGATTCTCCGGGGTCCCTTCCAGCCCAAATGTCTATGAAATCCCTGAAACCCACACCTCTTCACACAATCCCCCACAAACCCCATACCCACCCACACCCCACATTCACACACACACCCACATGCTCCCTCTGCCCCACACTTATCCATCCCCCAAGACCCCCCACACACACCCACATCCTCCCTCATTACCCACACACCCTCAGCCCCCCACAAACTTATACCCATGCCCCCACCCCCTCCACAATATACAAGAGTAAGACTTCATTTTGAACTATTGTATACAATCACCTCTGTCTACATTACACAAACGCATGTAAATCAGAACAAAAATATTTTTCTTTAAATCAAATTAATTAATGTTGTAGATGTTTGATTTTTAGAATATAATTTGGTATTTTTCTGGTTCCAAGACAACAAAACCCCTTGCCGAAATGAGTATTTCTGGAGGCAAGGGGTAGGACTTCTGGTGGCAAAGGTTAGGGGTGGGACTTCCAGTCACAAGATGGTGACCAGGGGGCAGGGCTACCCACATGGCCCTTGACAGCTTCCAAAACTTGGTAAGAGGCCTTCTGCCTGAAATAAGTGCCCACCCCTGTACTACTCTCTCCTGTTCAATACAAAATAGCAGCCTACAAAAGACTATGTGGTACATCTTGATCTGAATGGTTTCTGCTCACATTTAAAGTGCTCCTTTTAAGAAAACCCAAGATTCTGCGCGTACATTCTAAATACTGCACTGAGTAGTACAGTGCAATTTCAGTGGTTTGGCGCCCCTCAAGATTTGGATTTGCCCAGTCTTGTCCCTGTTGAACTTTAGGAGACTTTTGCTATTGATCTCAGTAGGAGTAGGATCATTCCTAATATTTCATCCAACTGTTTATTATTAAGTGCATTAATGAGCTCAGTCATAGTTTGTCATAATCCTAGGATGGAGAACACTCAGCACTGAAGATGGTACCCAGCTGGAAATCCTTCCCTTGGACAAATGTCAGATACAGCAGTAATAAGATGAGTTATTTCTCAGTAAAAAACATATATAAAATGATGGTCCCTCATTTCATGTCTTTATTTTGTTTGGCAGTCTGACTGTGAGGATGATGGGGAGCTCTTCATTTTCCAGCGAGATGAACCCAGTCTGATCCCTGACTTGTCAGAAGAACTTGAAGATATTTCTCTTGAACACCTGGACATGCAGGTTGCTGACTGTATTACAGAGTACAACTGCAGCCACACTTCTGTGCTGCTTAATGTTATAGATTTTATGCTGCCGTGCATAATTATACAGTATTGTTCTGATTATAAATCTACCTTTTTTCCATTCTAAAAGGAAGTATACAAAACTCAACTGGACTGAGACATTGGGTCAACCTACAATCAGGCCCCTGCTAGTCTATATTTTTCTACTGCATTATATTTGCTCATGCAGTCAAAATACCAAGTCATTTTTTTCAGTGCAGCTTTTATTATACTATTTTAGTGCATTTAACTTTTTAGCTTCCTTGCTTGATTATTTGATTCTCCTGCAGGATTTGTAAGGGTAATATTAATTCTAGATTTTTATCGCTAATTATTGACTAGCATTCAAGGAAAAAAGGGTTTTCTAAAGTTGAAATTGAAAATACGTAATGGATTATATGCCAGGTTGACTTACAGTTGGACTAATATGGTAAGAGGCTTTTCCCCTTCTTTCTTAGGTCTGGATCGCTGTCTCTCCCACTGATATATTTATTGTAAGGTCCCTTGGCAGTACCCCATTTCCTTGCAGTTTTTTGCAATTTTCTCCTGTGCCAAAGAGCCTTGGGTTCAGAGTCTTCCTCTTCCTCCTTAAGATTCTGAGCTCACAGCAAGGGAGCCCTTCAGTGTTTCTAAAAATCAAATAAGCCTTGTTTTGAATCGTGTACTGCTCTGCAATGAAAATGGTGCCGGTTGTCTTGCCATAAGTCACCTGATCCATAGAGTGTAAGGCTGGAAGGACCCTCGGAAGATCATCAGGTCCAGCCCTCTGCACCAAGCAGGAAAGATAACTAGGAGTCAGTTGACCCCAGCAAGGTGACTGTCTAGTCTCCTCTTGAAGATTTCCAGGGGAGGCAATTGCATCACCTTTGGAAGGAGCTTATTCCAGTCTGAACACCCTGACTGTGAAGAAGTTTTTCCTAATGTTGAGCCTGAATTGATCTTCCAGGGGTTTGTGGCCATTACTCCTGGTTTTCCTCTTGGGTGCCCCGGTGAACAGTTGCTCACTGAGCCCTTGATGTACTCTCCTAGTGTAGCGGTAAGCTGCTACCAGGTCCCCTCTCAGCCTTCTTTTCCTCAAGCTGAAGAGTCCCAGGTTCCTCGGCCTTTCCTCATATTGCATGCCCATCTCCATGATGGAGGCAGGCAGCAGACCGCTTTTCAGGGAGTGTAGTGGAGGCATTTATGGGTAACAACAATTTGTTAAGGAACAAGCTGTAGCATATTGAGTTTGAGAGTCTTTTGCAACTAAGTCAGTGTCTATTAATCATTGAGCCACTTCTACCCCTGGTATGAACAATAAAACTGTAACTCATTCAGTCATTAACAGTAAGACTAGGCAATAAGCCATTCAAATTGCCATCAACTGCTATTTGCTAATATGGAAAATAGAGAGGAATTTGTTAGAATGGTGTATCAAGAAATAATTGTATAAAGTTAACTCCTTGTAGAACCATTCTTAGATAAAGAGTTTACATTTCATCTGGAATGATGAAATCAACTAATCCTAGAAAAAAAGGCTGAGGAACTGTCCAGCTCCCGTATTTTGGCATGGGGTTTTGGTGACATTCATGTCTTCCAGATGTTTTTGATTTTACAATGATGAGACCTGATCCAGTCAGGTATCAGATGCCTCCCAGGTTGCAAACTCCAGCAGCTAATAATTTTTTTAATGTATGGGCTGTTTTTTTATAGGTTTGGAAAGTAGGTGTGACTGTCACTTCTGTTGTGTATTTTCTGTCCCTATAGCAAATCCTAGAAACTAGGAGACCCCCAAGAGAGATGTGGAACGGAGATGGAGAAAGATTATATTTTCAGAAAGTAATGGATGACACTCAACCTGTGGCAAGAGAACGCACACCATTGTGTAGGAATGAGTCAGATGCATTTACCAGCGTGACTGGAGAAACTCTAGACAAAAGTGCAGCATTCCTTCCAGAATTCCTTGTAGATCCCACAGATCAAGTTCTTAAAATGAAAGAATTAGGCAGTGAAAAAAAGGAGGAAACCGAGGAATTCGGGATGAATAACAAACCATCTAGGAGAAAGCCGTACTTTGGAGAATCAAACAGCAATGCGGAGGAGAGAAGAAAGATGATAGAAACAAAAATACTCTCTAAAATAACCTTGGAGCCGTCTCCTAGAAATGTAGGTCACCCAGAGCTAAATATCAACTCGCCCTTGGAGACCAATAGTGACAATTTAGACAGATTCCCTCATGCAGGAAATGAGCAAGGAGCCTCTTCAGGTGAACACCCTCGAGGGCTAACACTCTTTTCTTTGCAGGTAAGCAGGGTAAACAGTTAGCCAACTGTTCAGTGATTGCTGAGATCAAGGCTGTCCAGCTTCTGAGTGGCCAGCCCTCCCCCCTCTGCTGTACTGCACCATGACACATGCACCTCATCCCATAGTGTGTGGTGCCATATTTCATTCCCTCCCTCACCCGTCCTTGCAACTGCACTGCACTGCACTGCACTGCCTCCCAACCTGGGGCAGGTAGTGGAAGCAGGAGGAGGGAGGGGAGTTTGGAAACTCTGGCAGTGGCATCAGGAGAGTGATGGAGGGTGTGGTTCCTGGGCTGGGAGCCTGTGGGCTACAGGTTAACCCCTTGGGGACTGCCAGCTGGACATCTCCAGCTTAGGTAAACCAGCACTTCACAGAGTGCATTATATAGAGAAAGTTAATTGACAGTAAGAGGACCCGAATGTCTAATTCTTTACACATGAAGTCATTCTTTATTACTTGTATTATAGTAGTACTGAGGAGTGTCGGTCACTGTGCTAGGTACTGTACATGCACAGAACAAAGCAGGAGTCCTCCCAAAGAACTTACCATCTAAATAAATGACATTGGAAGTTAAACCCATTGTTCTTGCTAGTGTATGTCCTTGCACAGGGAGACCACCCACACTCTTGGGAGTTAGTGGGAAGTAGGTTTTTAATCAGAGCTTTCACTTAAACAATGAATTTTCCAGCTGTCTGGTTTCAGAGAGTCCTGATATTGTAACACAAGGTGTGTTTGTCCTGGCCAGGCAGTAGCATCAAAGCACGGAGTACTTTCTATTCCTGGGGTATTAGTCCTGAAGCCCAGTTAGCAGGCAGATAACCTGCACTCATGCAATCACAAATGAAATGAGACTGAGAGGAACTGGAATTTGAAGTCCGGTTTTCTTGTTTGGGACTGGGAGAATCTCTTACTTGAACTGCAGCTTTCCTGGTGTTTCGGCTCTCCAGAGTCCATGTTACATTTAAACAACCAGCTGTTCACTGCAAACAGAATTGTCATTATTATGTTATATATTGATCCAGAATGCCTAGGGGGCTAGTTACCAAGAAACATGAAAACTGGTGTATTTCCATTCAAAGCCTCCCTGGAGTCACAGTACAGAAACCTCACTCTTCACAAACTTCATGGGATAAATTTCTAGAAACCAGCATTTAAGCTGCACTCAAAAAAAAAAAAAAAAAATCTCCTTCCAGGGCAGGTCTAAGCTGTCTTTGCATGTGTAAAATGTACTAACACTATCTTACTTTAAGCACCAAACTGTATAGTTTAATCATTCAATTCCAGTCTTGATCAAGCATTTATGGGTCTGATCTCACCCATACCAGTGTAAATCAGGATAGTTTGTCTAAAGTCAATGGGCCTGTTTCTTACTTTAATGTATGCCAGCATAGCACATTGACATGGCTAGACTTACATTAGGTAGATACCAGTGTAAATGAGAGGAGTCAGGTAGGCAAAATCAATTTTACCTTGGTGTGAAAGAACAGAATCAGACCCTTTGTTATATACCAGAGGTGTCAAACATATGACCCACAGAGCTCCTTGAGGCAAGGGACTGCCTCCAGGTTCCCAGGATAGAGCCCTAATGGGTATACATGTCAGTGGCTGCAGGGGAAGTTGGGAGGGAGATTCATTAATGCTCATTCTGCCACACACCTTGCTGGGTCCAGAGGAGCCCTATGGTCTGGATCCAGCCCAGGGGTGCAGGCAAGTTTGATGCCTCTGGTATACAATTGCAAATGAAATGAGACAGAGGAACTGGAATTTGAGGTCAGGTTTTCTTTTTTGGGACTGGGAGCATCTCTTACTTGAACTGCAGCCTTCCTGGTGTTTTAACTCCCCAGCCAGAGTCCCCAGAATGTATTCACACCTAGTTTTGAATCTACTCATTATATAGTCCTGTAGCAGGCTTGTACCCACAGGGGCAGCCATGATGCCTCCTGGTGGCTGTGCAGCCCCTGCCTAGCTCAGGCTTGACTTTAGTCCTCCCTTGATCACTTTCCTGCCACACCTTGTTCTTATTGAAGTTTGTGTAAGGGAGACTGCCTGTGGCCTCTGAGTGAGCCTGAGCCTATGTCAATGACCACTGCCCCCCTTGGATCCCATTATTCACAGTCCTGCCCGCCAGGTTAGTAGGCCCTCTTGGCCTGTCCCTCTGCTGAGCACCTGTAGCCTTAAGGGCCAGTTGCGTGGCTCCATTCCTCCTCTACACCATGCCCCAAGCTTCTCAGATGTTACTATACCACCACACTCTATTGTAGGGATCTCAGCCTTACCAGCCTCCTCCCCTCTTGTTCTCACTAGGCTTTTAGCACAGGCCCACAGTAGCAGACCAGGCTTCTAGGCTCCACTGTCCTTGACAGCAGGTCCTGGCAGTGGTCTCCTGGATCTTTGGCTGCACCTGGGATAGTTGAGGTCACTAGGCTCACTGTCTGTGGCAGTCTCTGGCTGCAGTCCCTCCTGGAACTTGAGCCTCTCCTGAGTTCCCAGATACCCTGGGTAGCTCCTCCCTGAGCTCCTGGACCCTCACGGTCTCCCCAGGCCCTCCTGGGCTCCCAGTTTTCTGAGTATGCCTTGAGCCACCCTCAGTAGGGCTCAGGGCTAATCCACTGGTCCACCCTAAATAAAAAGCATCTCAGCTACCCATGTCACTACAGCCTGTTTTCATAGAGACCCCAACAGCAGTGGGGCCATGACAGTGTGGGGCTAGGGTTTCCATGGAGACCAGCCCCAGCAGTGCTGGCAGGGCACGCAACTGGGTGGGGAGCTGCTCTGGGGTCTGGGCTGGGATCTTGAGGTGGTGACAATGTGGTTGGAGCCGGGGCAGGGCTGTGATCCATAGTCTGCAAGCCCCTGCCCGGAGTGTGTGGACAGAGGATCACAGTTCTGCCCCAGCTCTGGACCATGCTGTCACTACCACAAGATTCTGGCCCCAGAGCAGTTTCTCATCCAACCGTGTGCTCTGCCAGTGCTGCTTGGGCTGGTCTTTATGGAAACCCTGGCCCCACACTGTCATGGCCCCGCTACTGCTGGGGTCTCCTTGGAAACCAGCTTAAGCAAAGTGGGGAGGGGCTGCTGAGAAATGGAGTCTGTGACGAGCCTGATCTGGTCCATGAGCCAGACTTTGCCTGCCCCGTGATAGAGGTTACCCTGCCACAGGTAGTCCCACCACATTAACCAGCTCTAGTAGGGTACAGTTTTAGGTCCTACCCAGGACCAATCAAGGCTTTCCCTCTTGACTTCTTAGGTGTCATCTATGTGGTTTTCCAAGGTAGCCAGTTCTGAGTGTCTTAAATTCCTGTGCTCCACAAGCTCTCTCTTGGTTCTCTCCACAGGCCTCAGACTGTTGACACCCCTCCAATGGGTTGTCCTTGTGGCCCATACCAGCTCCCTGGCATGCGTCTTGAGGCTTCATACCTCATAGCGGACCCCTTATTGGCTCTCTCTTCTCTTTAGCTGAGACCTCAGGTCTGGTAGCTGGGAACTTCTCTTCAATCCCAGTACACTGACTCTCCTCTCTCTCTAGGAGTGTAGCTTGCTTTCTTCTTCCAGTCTGATTGTACCAGGTAGTTATATGCCCCGACTGTCTCATTCTCAGAGGCATTCC